CTGTTTTTTTTTTTCGCCCTCTCGCACCGATTTTGGAGTACCCAGAGGATGTCATCCATAAAAATAAAAAAGTGTGGCCTTAGCAGCATGTAGGTCATTGCTCTACTTATTAGGTCAAGGTTAACTGACCCAATTTTCAGTAAAACAAAAACAATTTGATATCTGGCTTACATACAAACACACTAGTTATAACAGGTCTCAATGACTATATTCTTGTATTCAGACTTACTTCAGTTTTTGTAACTGTTGTACTTTGTACTGATCTGACTGATACACTTAAAACACCGTAAATCATATTAATTTTTTATACACACACATACACATGTGAATATATTTTTGCAGGTCCCACAATTTACAAAAATTACAAGAATTTGGAGGTCCATACAACATAACATCCCTTGGACAGTTTTATTACCATTCGTCTTATTCATATTTGCAGGTCCTACAATCCATCAACAGTTGCAGGAATTAGGGGGTCTGGACAACATTACAGCGACACCCCCTGGATGGCCTGTCAGTGACGACACTGTGATGCATATTGCCACTGGAGAAGGTATATTTGATTGAATGAAAATGCCCTTGATATTTGACTTTTGAAGATTATGGATTATTCACGGTGCTGTTTTCATTTATGGGAACTGCAACAGTTAAATGCTTTTGACATTTATGCAAGAAATATCATTTATTTATCAAATTAATGTACTTAGTAATGGAGTGGAAAAACTAGCCCGGAAGGTCAGATGATTACTTTGCCAAAGAAACTGATTCATATCGAATTATTTGTTTTCCTCTAAATTTATCTTGGAATGTTTCTTTAAAAATAACATATCAGATGAATCTTTAGAGCAATGGATGCTACACTTTTAATACCATTCTGCAAACCTTTAGAGGAAAGAAACAAGAATTTATATGCATTTAGTTGTCTGTAGTACTGTCTTCTCATGATTGTGGATTTTCATTTATTGCTGGTTTAAACTGCGGTCTGGGCTGAGCATTCATTATGTTATACAGCCCTTGCCAGTGGAAAGACAGATAAAGAAGCGATGCTGTTGGAGATCGCTGCCAAGTATAAAGAATGTATGAAAGATATGGAAGGAAGGAAACCTGGACCCACATCCATATTGGTAATACAAAAAGCCTCATGTGATTTGAAAATTTTCCTTAAAAGTGTGGTGTTATTATTATTATTATTGTGCCCATCTGTTTGAATATGCCCCTTTTTATCTTAATAAATTATATCTTGGCAGAATATGTATTTTGTTTGTGTGCTTGTGTATGTGCTTTACAAATTCGTTTATGATTTTTTGGTTATTGTTATACCAGTGCTTTGAATTTTGACTGTACTGTGTAGATCTCTCTTAAAATATCATAACACTGGAAATCAGTCCAGGAGCTGACAAATCAGACAATCATTTAGAAGAGCTCATAAGAACTATTAAAACCCTTCTTTAGCAATCAGTTTCCCTTTTGATGCAAGTTGGCCTGATTTCAGTCTGATGTCATCCTTGTCTGAACTGACCTGACAGGATCTGAATTGATTTCCATCCAGGGCACAGACCTCCTGCAGCCTGATAAACCAGGTGGATACATTATCCCATTCAATCCAACTGGGACGGGATGTGGAGCTGCCATGAGATCTATGTGTATTGGATTAAGATATTCCACGTAAGTAGTTAAGTAAGTGGAAATTGTCAACACACGTCTCACAGTTTGTATGCAATGTGTTACTGTGCATTGAAATGTGGTTTAATTTCATTACAGGCTTGCTTAGAGAGCAGGAGGTGCTCTGGGCTTGTTATGAGGTTAACTAATGTAGTTTCACAGGATTGGAAGTAATTTATCACTTGACCCAACTTGAGATTCTATGAGTAGATAAAATTTGATTCAGAGCAGGCCTTTCCATCCAAAAGGGCTGTTCATTTTAATACCCCCCCCCCCACTTTGCCTACAGGTCTAATCTATTTTTTCTTTGTAGTCCAGAGGACCTTGATGACCTTATAATGTACAGTATAGAAAGTGGGCGAATGACACACAACCACCCTACAGGATATCTGGGATCTCTGGCTAGCGCCTTGTTCACCTCCTATGCTGCACAGCTGAAACCAAGTGAGTCTTTTAAGATTTTATGTAAGCTGCCCCTATGCCACAGGCACCATTGGTTCACTTGGAACGACTCAGCTCTATGGGGACTCTCGCTGAGTACAATCAGCTTTAACTGAATAGCACACTCCTCTTGTTTCCAATATACTTGTATGTAAACTTACCTATATTACACTTCACGCCAGGAGGACACTTGTCATTCAGTTAAGCTGATTGCAGTCAGTGAGAGTCCCCACAGAATTGGGTCGAACCATGTACATTGATGGTGTCTGTGGAAATGGGGCCTTTTTGTGCACCATTAAAAAACAGGAGAGAAAGATGCTTGGATATCTTATAATTTCAAAAATTATGACTGAAATTGTGTGGTGTACATGATTTTGCTTCAGCAGAGTAAGCGAGGCCCTTTGGTGGAACACCCTCCTCTCCCACATCCTGGCAGTGAGTCTTTATTTCTTCTCTCTCTTTCTAAAATGTGGTGATAAGAAAACTTTAGAAGAAATAAATATGATAATGTTAAATTTATGTATCATTTATTTTTCTTGATATAACCTGATATTGTCTGATAATCAACAGTTATACCAGTATCTTTTTCAGTAGACACAGAAAAACATTTTTAATTGGTTCATTCCATCATCATATTTTTAATTGGTGCATTTTTCAAGAAATTCTATTAGCATACTTATTTTAGACTTATTGCACTACTTTTATTAATGCAAATAACAGCTTTGCTAAAAAAAAAAGCTTGTTCTCTAGGATTACCCTGTCCTTGAACCTATCATACATGTATAAGGCTTTGTTCACATGGAAAGTCTATTTTCTAAAAATCTATTTTCTATTCGCGGTATCTTATGATCATGGTCTGTGCTCTGAATATCCCACGGCGTAATTACTGGCAGCGCGAGCCAGTTACTTAAAGTAACTTATAGTAACTGGCTCGCGCTGCCAGTAATTACGCCGCAGGATATTCAGGGCACAGACCGTGATCATAAGACACCGCGAATAGAAAATAGAATTTAGAAAATCGACATTGCATGTGAATGAAGCCTAAGTCCACAGTGTGTTGATATCATGATATGATTTCCCTCTACCAGGCTCGTAGAAAATATATGTACTCTTCTCTATCACACAGAACAAAATGACCGTCTATTTATCTAAAGACATATCTGTGATATCTAGTAAAAAAATCAGTCTGTGGCCCTGGTAGAGGGTATGATATGACAGCCATCCAAATGCCAATCTTTATTATG